CAGTTCAGATTAAGTTAATGTAGATATATATGATAGACAATATTAAAATCTTTCAATGCTTCTTTTATGTAAAAACAACAACGTGATAATATCGAAAGTAAGGTTACTTGGAACTGAGAAAATAAAGAAGCGACAACATGGCAAACTCAAAGAGGCTGTCTGCATCTATAAAATCCCGTTATGGAAATTTTTTATGAGATATTATATTATAATATATTTAAGATGAAATGCGTCTGATGCATTACACCTGACTCACTTTTCCTTTTCAGAAAAATATAATTGTTGGTTTCTAATGCCAGCCGTATCCACCTCCGTATCCGCCGTAGCCACCACGTCCGCCACCGTAACCACCATATCCACCTCCGTATCCACCACGTCCGCCGCCATAACCTCCGTATCCACCACGTCCGCCGCCATAACCTCCGTAGCCACCATGCCCGCCACCGTAACCACCATATCCACCTCCGTATCCGCCGTAGCCACCACCATAACCACCATATCCACCTCCATATCCGCCGTAGCCACCTAGGCCACCTCCGTGGCCTCCATAACCACCACCGTATCCTCCATAACCAAGATAACCAGCCATGACATTGGCAATAGCCACCAGAAGCAGCATACCGGCGAACTACGAAAAATATAGTTGTATTATTGGTAATTATCTAGAATAGCCCTAAAAGTAACCACATTTTCAATATAATTTTATCTTGAATGTTATAAGTACATGAAAGATGTTTTTGAAAACTTCAATAAACTGAATTATCAATTAAAAGTTCAGAAACATGACTTTCATTAGACTTTCTTTTTCATATCAATCAGTTTTCTTGTATGAAAGAATCATTTGATATTATTTGTACATTACAGAGTAAAGAGGCATATACAAGTATGACCAATGTTTGAAGACAGTGATAAAAGACTTACCATAGCCTTCATGTTTGTGCTAGAGATGGAACTTAGGGAACGTTTTTACCAAAATGTTTTCAGCAGTAGTGTGATGTTTAAACTACTGATAGACTCGTCTTTATATACTCGACAGAAAAGGTGTGGTTTATTCGTCTAAACACTGTTATTCCACGCATCAGCAAA